TTTGTTTTGCATATGTGAATGTTGTATTTCGTTATTTATGTCAATTTAATTCTCAATAGTGTACCCAAAAAAAATAAATCACGTGTCACTTTCCGTAGTTCACGAGAAGAAACCTCTATTGGGTTTGGTAATAGCTAAATCACCATACTCATATTTTCTTATAAAGATTAAGGTATTATGGGAAATAGGAAATTAATTTTCTTGGGAAGCAAGAAAGTGATATCTTTATAACAGAATGAAGGAGGACATAATACCCATCCTTTGAGGGTCATCCATTTGGGGGTTATGGCAATGGATCTCAAAAATGGAGATGAGTATCCACGAGAGAGAGACATGGCCTCCGAGAGAGAGGCAGTATTTCCATGAGTTTGGAGTAGGTTAACTTTCACTTCTAGATAGAGAAAATATCTATATTGCTCTCGAAGTTATTTTTCCGGTAGCGGTATTGCGGTGGGAAAGAGGTTGATCGACGGTGTTGCTCGAAATGGGAGAGCGGGTATAGAAGGAAAGATCGGTGATGGTTTTTATTGATGTTTAGAGATAGGTATTATCTTTTCTAACTCAAAACTGTAATCTTCATTGTGATAGTTGATTTTTAGTTGCTGAGGCCGTGGATGTAGCCCTACGAGGTGAACCACGTAAATCGTGTATTGTTGTGGTGTACTTTTTATATTTGCTTTATTTCTCGCGCTTGATTTATAATTGTATTCATCTACTTCATATTTAGTCAATCATGTATATGATCTTGGATGGGATCCCAGTGTTTGGGATTCCCGATTTCGCAAGCCGCGGAGTTCTTGAGAACTCTTCAATTGATATCAAAGCACAGGATGTGTACGAGGCAAAGGTTTATGTCAAGAAAAAAAGGAATGACAGTTTTATGGATACATGGTTTGAAGTGGAGAAACATGGAGGCAAAGTGTTTATGAAAATTCCACAATGGAGGCAAATATGAAGAAATCAATAAATCTATTCAATGAAAGTTGTCAAGGCAATTATGATGATTTTGTTATTTAGGTGGAGATTGTTGGGTTTGGTGATAGTTAAATCATCATACCTATATTTTCTTCTAAAGATTATGGTATTATGAGAAATAGAAAATTGACTTTCTTGGAAAGCAAGAAAGTGAAATCTTTATAAGAGAGTGAAAGATGACATAATACTCATCCTTTGAGGGTCACCCTTTTGAAGGTTATGGGAATGGATCTTCAATATGGAGATGGGTCTCCAAGAGAGAGAGACATAGCCTTCAAGAGAGAGGCGGTATTCCCATGAATTTTTAGTTAGTTAACTTCCACTTCTAGAGAGATAAGATCTCTATATTGCTCTCGATGTTATCTTTCCAATAGCAGTATTGCGATGGGAAAGAGGTTGATTGACGGTGTTGCTCGGTTGGTAGAGCGAATATAGAAGGGAATAGCGGTGATGGTTTTTTTACCGATGTTTAGAGATAGGTATTATCTCTTGTAAGTCAAAATTGTAATCTTCATTGTGATAGTGGATTTCTAGTTGCCGAGGCAGTAGATGTAACCCTATGGGGTGAACCACGTAAATCATGTGTTGTTGTGGTGTATTTTTTATGTTTGATTTATTTCTCGCACTCGATTTATAGTTGTATGCATCTATTTCGCATTTGACCAATTGAGTACACGATCTTGAGTGGGATCCCAGTAATTGGGATTCCCCGTTCCGCAATCGATCTCAAGAAGCCAATAACCTCATAGGTTAAATTTTCAACAGAATCCACCTAAACCAAGTACTCTTTCCACATCCACCTCCTTTAAATCTCTCCCTATTTTTATAAGGTGTTATTTGTACAAGGAGTCAATCTTAAACAATTAAAATAAGCAAACCTTTAAATCGTGCTAAGAGAGACAGTTATGCTGCTAGAGACCTTTATGATGGCTTAAAAAAAAAATTTCACCTCTAATTATGAAAACTAAAGTACCAAGGTCTAGATCAAGGATATCTACACAAAATTTAAAATATTTAAAAATGGGCGGAATACATAATGTATTACAAGATGCACCAGTTTTAGAGCTTCAACTTTAAAAAAAAAAAAATGTATATCTTGATATGAGATGATCAATTATATGGTTTTAGAGGAGCCTTTTTTAGTGGATTTTCAAGGTACATCATTGAAATATAAACGTTTTTCCTTTGTATAATGACGACATATAGCCCTGCCCTCGGAGGAACACTTTGTATACTTAATCTCTCATATAAAAGACCAGCTTTAGAGAATTTCATGGATTCCAAATTTGAAAATCCACTTTAGATCTTGTTGCTCCATATTAGGATTTTTTTTTATTATTCACATATAAAATGTTTTCTTTCTTGGTTGCTGCATTGACGAGGCTGTAACTCAAATTTGAGTCCCCATAAATACATCGAGGGAGTAAATTGATGGTATCCTTGCATAAGAACCTGCTTGCTTATTTCATATAGTTTCATAGATCATCCATTTCAAAAGAATGCACTTTAAAATTGCGCTTTATCCCTAAACATTGAGGTGTTACCCTTGAAATACACAATTTTTTCTTTTTTTTTTTGGGTAGTTCAGAGGGAAAGACAGACCCCTACTTGTTTTTTTAAATAGTTTAGAAGTTAGTTTTTTTTTTTTTGGTAAGTATTAGTGGAATGGTGTTAGTGGGAATGGAAACCACAAATTATCTTCTAAAAAAACTTTTCCCAACAATTGCACAAAATCTGGAAAATGCTTTTCAAATACACATCCCAGTATTGCATACTCTAATATGTATCTTATTGTGTGTAATTATGCATTGATTTTGTTAACTGATCAATATGTTATAAATACCCCTTTAATTCAGATACTCTTCACCTAGAAAATATTGATACTCGTCTTATCCACAGGACGCGTCCGCTGCCATTTAACAAAAGTGTAAAATAAGATTATTTGCTTTTGGTACAAGGAGTCAAGAAAAAATATACAATGAGACCATTTATCGTTGGTATAAGGTGGTCATAATTAATCTTGACTATTAGATGTGAAATTGGGTGGTTGCTTTTATTCTGTTTACTAAGCTCAAAGTTAAAAAAAGAAATTATTGAATTTTATAACACATCCAAACTATCAGATTTCACATCGTATGCTTATAAATAATTGTGACCTCCTTGTACTAAAAGTAAATGGTCTCATTGTATACAATACCAGGAGTCCATCACTCACTTGGGGATGTTTGATGTGCGAAATTATATAGCTCGAGATGTGCCAGTACTTGAGTTTAAAGTCCCCCTTTTTTTTTTAGGCACCTCAAGGTGTTGGATTTTTATGAACAAGTTGTACCAGATTGGTATTTTTAAATTAGAACACATATATTATGTTTTTGAGTAACAATACTATATTAAAAGATATACTTGGATTTTTCAGACTGAAATTTTAGGAGCTACCTAAGAATCATTAGAAAATTATTTTAATAAAAATTTGAATTTTGAGTTTTTTTTATACTTAGATATCTCCCTTCAGAAATTATATGGTCTTTGTTTAATATTGAGACTAATTTTCTTCCAGATATATAGAGAGTTCAATTTGTTTTTTGTTTTGTTTTGTTTTTAATGAAAGTCTATAGGTTGAAGAGGGGAGGGTCACAAAATAACTTCTAAATTGGGTTTTACACATAGAAGTAAATCCACAGTATACTCCCATACAAAGATAAAATATTTTGGCTTTAAAGTAACTGTTTTATTAATGAATTAGTTAATTTGACTGTTTTGATGGTTTTAATTGATGGAATGTATAGAGCGGTCTAGCTCAAAGTGTGTACAAACAAAAATTTTCTTCTCAAAACTTAAACATACAACACTATGACTAAAAAACCAACACAATAGTCACGAGAGCAATACAACTAATGAGGGCTAAATTTTCATTATTTGGTTTCTCATGTCCTCTTGAGGAACGAAGTCTTTGTTTGAAAATAAAGTTCAAATGCCACCTTTTGGCCTATTGTCTTCACAAAGCATACCATGCTTAATTTATTTGATTATTGGAGTTGTCGATTTCCTAAAATTGGTCTTAGAAATAACTCAAACTTAAAACCAATGTTGTCGTATTCGCCCAAGAATCTTCTTTGGTTTGGTGAGAAAATTAAGCAATCCAGTGTTTCGATCGAATCAAGAGAAGACTTCGGATTTTTTTAAAAAAATTTAATATAAATAAATTAGATACTTATATATATAATACATAAAAAAAATAGAAAATGTAAAATAAAAAATTCAAAAAAATAAAAATTATTTTATTTGCTTTGGCAGAAGTCACCGAAACTTCCACCGAATTGTCATGAAGCAAATCTAAATTTCGGCTCGAGTATGATTGAAGTCGTAGCACCACGCTTCACTTCGCTTAAATATTAAGCCGAAAATCCAAGGTTTGATAACACTGTACAAAAACCGTTTTTGCAACCAAAAGCATCACGTGCCACAATATGTGCCAGGACACAAACATCGCTGGTTTTGCTACAACCTCATGATCCAAACCTTAACTGCATTATTTTGGTATTTTGGAAAGGAAAATGGTTTGATAGGACTGCAACCCTCTCAAATTAAGTAAAGCCTTATCGCATAACTCATCAAAATTGCGATTCAAACATTCAAAGATTTTTGCCTGGATCATCTCGGCTTGAACATTAGTGAAAAAAAATTAGGATTTCAATATGTAAAAATAGTGTATATTGTCTAGACTATCCATTTAACCATAAAAATAAATGTTCAAATATGGGCAAGATCTATATCATTTTTTGAAGCTTTATTTTATTTTTTCAGCCCTATGAAATTAAGGAAAGCCTAATGTACCTCGTTAAAAATGAAAATTCAAATATAAGGTCCGCGTTACGTTATCCATTACACGTGACTGAATAGAGAGAGAAGAGTAACTGAAGTGCAGACAAATGTTTAAATAGCATGCTCCCGCCGGAGCATGCGGAATCTTTCTCTGTCTAGGACACCTTTGTGGACGAGAACTGAAGCAAAGTGAGAACCCAGAACCTCGCATTACACCATTACTTTTTCTGGTCGCTTTATAAATTGCAGGATTTTCGGGTCTCTGTTCTTTATTTTCGAGGTTCTGCTATTTTTGTTCTCTTTTTTTTTAATTTCTGTGTCCAATAATTTTTTCTCAAGCTTTTGCCTCTGGCACGTAGAGAGAAGGTTTGCGATTGTGACGGGTTATTGTAAGGAGCTGATTCTAATGTTGAGCTTTGTTCTCTTCCAGTTTTCGGTTCTTTAATTTTTGTTTTTTTTGTTTTTCCTTTTTGAAATGGAAATTGCAGACAGTTGAAATTGAGTTGTTTTGGGCTTTTCTCATTTCTGTTTGGTTTTATGGAACAGTGCCAGTAGAAAGGCACCAGCTTTTGAAGCAGGAGATGGCTTCCACACCTTTGTATGGGAAATCTTTCAGTAGTTCGCTTCTTCGGAGGTCTCATGTATCAGAGGTATCCCCTCTTCTCTCTCCTTTTTTCCGCCATTTTTTGGGTAATCTCTCGTTATTCTTTCCAATATCTCTCTTTGGTCTTAGTCTCTGTTACGAAATTAAGTGAAGGAGTAACTAGATGAAGGTGCTAGATAGTCTGTGGTTTTTCGAGCTTATAATCTGATGGGGTGGATCAATTCTTTTGATTCAGATGTTGTGAAACTGATTGTAATTGCATTATTTGCATATTTATTGTTTATAATATGATGGGGTGGATCAATTCTTGTGAAACTGATTGCATAGCTGTGACGAGTTTTACATTCAAATAAGTTTGTAATTGCATTATTTGCATAGTTATTGCTTAAAGAAGTGCATTATTTGTGTATTTTTTATATCTTTGTTGCTCTATTGATTTCAATAGTGTCTATCATCTAACTAACATGACTTCTGGATGTAGTTGTAGAATCACTCCGCAACCCCACATATTGGAGGGCACCCTTTTGCCTACCCATTAAACTCTCTGTTCAAGCTCTGCACTTACCCTCCTTTTCATCCTCCTCAATACCTCTCACATATCTTCTTGCCAATGGGGCAGATCTCTCTATAAAGATATTAGCTTAGGATGGACCCAAGGGGAGATTCCTTTTTAAAGCCTAGCCTCCTGATTGGCTGTTGTTCAAAGGGATGAGCTCCTGGGCAACATGATGGTCCTACCGTGTGCATTATCAAAGAGATTACAAGGAGAGTAACGAAATGAATTTTAGTCTGGTCGGATGATATCGGGCATTATGTGTAATTAGACTCTATTAAAGAGAAGCTTGGCTAAATGATAACATGTCAAAGGACTAATGAGATTGTCCCAAAAGGAACAAGCTTTTCCCTATTGTATTTTAACCTACACTATGTTTGCACGGAGATGCCAGGTCGTTCGAAGGGAGAAGTTTGAGGTTTTCCAACATGGGTCAAGATAGGTAGCTTACCAGATGTTCTCTAGAGATCAGAGCTTGGGCACCATGGCCAATTCATTAGGAAACTAAGCAATGTTGTTAAATTCGCTTCGCTTCAGGTGAAGCACCCGAAGTCTTTGTGTTTTCCCTAACCACTGACGTGAAGCAAATAGTGAAGAGTGATGTTACTTGTTCTTATCAAATGCCTTTCAAAAGTAACAAGGAACAAATAAAATGTGTAAACTTAAAACAACAACATGCCACGTTTAGAGAGAAATACAAGAAGGAAAGACAACCTTGACAGGACACAAAAAGTCAAAAGTGAAAAGGTATTTATATTTTTAAAATTTAAATCCATAGTATATTTTCATCTTTATTTATAAAGTTTAAAGCTTCAAAAATAGTGTAAGATCGACAGATCTATGAAAACTTGAAAATCTTGAAAATTGATGGTCCAAAAATGAGTTACAAAATACACTATTTCCAAAACTTGAAATCCATTTTTTTTCTCATGTCCATGCATCTTGATGTTGAGATGATCAAGTTGAGGATATTTGAGCATCAAAACAACCTCTTGTAGTGAAATTTTTGCGGTAGGCTCTAATTTGATTGTTTAGAGCCTCGGCTCTATATAAAATTTTCCCTTATTTATTATTCAGTGTAGAAATAAATTTGCTTATTATTAATTTTTTATTTTTAAATATTTATTTTTAATTCTTTATAAAATTATAAAAATATATTTTAGTTATTTTAAAATATTTAAAAAAAGAACCGAAGTCTTCTCCTGAATCAGCCGAAGCACCAAACCTCTTCATTTTTTAGACCGAACTGAAGTAAGCTCCAAAGCGAATCTAGCAACACTGAAACTAGGTCTTCTTAGAGAAGGCTCGTCACTTCTAAGTGAGACTACACGATTATCTACATAGAGATGGGTGTCTAGGGGAAGTTGTTTTTCTTCTTTTTGCCCCCAAAACTATTAACATTTGTATTGAGTGAAAAGAAGGAATGAAAAAGCAACAGTTATGGCATCCCATAGGCTGGGTGTTCTATACAAAAAGGGTTATACGTCAAAAAATGTTGTACAGCAAAGTAAGGCATAGCCTTAGATACAAAGAAAGAAGAAAAAAGAAAAGGGGTACGGTAGCTCAAAAAGGTCCCTGACATGCCTATTGAATTGGCCTCGTGCCAAGTGTGCCTCCATGAGACATGCATATGCCTGAAAATGTGTAATATGTCATCAAACACGTGCTCAAGTCTCCATGGATGGGGTGCGACCTTTGAGGCCCAGGAGATGACATTTTTGGAGTCCCTCTTAATTAGCAAAATAGGGCTCTACAACGGTTTAAAATATTTTAGGCCTTTGAGAAGGGCAAGTTCCTCCATTGTATTGGAGTCTGTGTGGCCGATAGTTTGGACAATGGGAAAAGAGTGAGGCCATTTGCACCTCTTAAAATGCCCCTATACCAGCTGGACTCGGGTTGCCTACAGAGCAACCGTCAAAGTTAAACTTGGATTGATTGGCTCTAGTGGCCTCCAAAGGGAACCATGATGGATCTGAGGAGACTTCAGATTCAACATACCTTGCCATTTTTTACCACTGTAGTGGCAATGTAACTACCGTTTTTTTTTTTTGTGAAATTGTTAACTGTTGTAAAAAGATAAGAGGAGTAATACAATAGTCTGTCAAGGTTACCCACATATCAGGTCTCTCGGCAAAAAATATTAGGCTCCCCAAAGGAGAGCTCTTGTACAAAAAATGGATGGGGCTAGAAAGTAATGCCCATTACATCAGATTTACAAAAATGTGCCCATTACAAGGATTTACAAAAGAGAGGAGCCGATGACCCAGACAGTCCAAAACATCGAGGGAAACCTGTCGAAACTGCAGTAAGTCAAAAAGCTTGAGTGTCTCATGTGGTTGACAATGCGCCTTCCTTAGCCATCTGGTCCGCCAAAGCATTTGACGTCCTCCAGGTATGCATCCATAAGACGGCTGTATCCCTGCAAATGTGCATTATCTCATCATAAATCGAAGCAAGATGCCAGGGGGGGAGCAAGTCTAGCAGCTCAAGTGATTATATTTTGGGCATCTCCCTCGACAATGAGTGGTTGACCGCACTTGTGGTTGAAGAACTTGAGCTCCAAAAGGAGTGCCATTGACTCGGCAAACTGGGAATCGGTGTGGCCAATGTTTTTGAAAAAAGAGGCCAAGATATTGTTATGGTGGTCTCTGAAGACCCCTCCCACTTCTACTTGTCCAGGGTTACCTAAGGAGCACCCGTCGAAGTTGAGTTTAATGAGACCTTCCGGTGGTGGGGACCAGTTATTAGCGTGTGCTGCCCGAGGGGAGCGTAAGTGGAGGACTTCTTCCCAATTTTGCAGGAAAGTTAAAGCCGAGATTCCTTTGAAAGCCATGTGGTTGGAAGCCCAAAAGATTACCTGGGAAGTAATTTTGTGGAGGAAGTCAATAGGAGGAAAGTGCTTGAAGTATTTGTGGTTCGTAGCCCAAAAGATAAACCACTGTTCTTGTCTACCAAAGCTTATTTGGTAGACACCTCAGCATGGAAGATCCTGTGGTTTCTGTCGATCCAAATCACCCACAAGGTGGCTGCCACTACAGCCTGCCAAAAAAGGATGCCTGACTTTGACCAAAGAGGAAAAGTAAGGGAGCTGAAAAGGTGGGGGACAGGTCACCGACCTCCAATTGAAGAGTTGCATTGGATTCCCCGCACAATGCACTTGCGAAGTCACAGTGGAATGAAGAGGTGAGTGTTGGTTTCTTCCTCGGATTTGCACACTATGCATCTGTTGGGGATCGGCAGTTCCTTCTTTGAAGTTGATCCACAGTCAAGGCTCTTTGGGAGGGATGATTGTAAGAGACAGGATAGGGCTTGAAATTCAGCAGATTCCTTCTCCAATAGGAGCCGCCTGATGATGGGAATCTAGACCCTTGAGTTTCCCAGTATCTTGAAACCACGGTGGCATTACTGTCCCGAGCTCCAAGAAATAGGTTGTGGAAGCTGTCTTTGAGTGGGAAGTTACCTATTCGAATGTCGGACTAGAACTTGACTCTAGTCCCCTCCAGGAGGTCTTTGAATAGACTATAGCTGTGTAGCAGAAACTACCAGACTCCTGACGATCTGTTGTTCAACGAACCCCTGGGAAGCCACCAGAATTTTCGCAGCGGTATTTGTGGCAGATAACCTCTTGCAAGAGGTGGTTGTCTTGTGGTGGTGACGAAGCACCCCCACCACTTGCCTAAAGGCGCCAAATTGTGTCTTTTGAGACTCTGGATTCCTGGGCAACCTTGCTGTCTTGGTAAGCAAGCTTTGTCCTATGCATTGTGGTGGTACTTGTTACTCCCCCTTCACCTGACCAAAGGAAGTTCCTCATCAGCTGTTTGAGGCAATCTACAACTAAGATAAACGTCTGAAACAGGGACCCTCAGAAGATAGGAAAGTTTGAGAGGGTCTCTTTAAAGAGGGTGATTCTACTAGCAGAAGAGAGGAATCTCCCCTTCCTACCAGTGGGCTTGTAGTTGAACGTTTCTATGATGTGGCCCCACTATCGCAGTTTAAGTTTGCCGATTCACAGGGGCAGGCCCAAGCAAGTAGAAGGCAAGACATCGACTTCATAGCCCCACTGATTAGCTAGGCTGTAAATGACATGGCCCTTAGTTGCCAACCCCTATCATCTTGGACTTGGCCATGTTTACCCGTAGGCCTGTAGCCATTTCAAACAATTTAAGAAAAATTAGTAAGGAGTTCACCTGCTGTGGAGGGTATCATCAGCATGGTGAAGGTGAGAGAGGCCGTGGTTCCCAGTTTTGAAACCTTTCCGAAGACCATGGTGGTACCTCCTAGCAATGGCTTTGCAAAAGACTTTTGTGGACAAATAGAAAAGGGGAAAGGTCAGCCCTTGCCTTAGTCCTATAGAAGAAGGGAAGAAACCTTCTGGGATCTGTTAATGAGGATGGAGAAGGGTGTCAATATGCATCTGGGGATCCAGGCACTACAATGGTACCCAAAGCCCACCTACGGAGGGTTTCATCTAGGATGGCCCAATCGACGTCGTT